CCCCCCCCAATATACACACCTCTATAATAGTGGTGCAAACGATGCATTAATAGGACCTTTAGAATTCGTACCATTTGTTAAATAAAAGGGTTAAAATACCAGGGAGTTGGATCCAGCTCAAATTGGAATAAACTGAAGAGTGTGAGACATGTTTTTCTGGTCTTAGCTTAAACCCATCTTCAATTCATAGTCCTGGGACAACAAAGAACTTTTAATTACATTCTTTAATGTTGTTGTTTGGATTCTTTTTATTCAACTGGGCTTGGGAGTATTTTAAATGTATTCAGCTGTTCACAATAGGGAGAAGTACTTAGCATGGGAGGAGGAAATAATAAGAATATGAGAGAAGTACTTAGCATTGGAGTTGGAGATAATAAGAATATGGGAGAAGTACTTAGCATGGGAGGAGGAAATAATAAGAATATGGGAGAAGTACTTAGCATGGGAGGAGGAGATAATAAGAATATGGGAGAAGTTCTTAGCATGGGAGGAGGAGATAATAAGAATATGGAATAAGTACTTAGCTTAGGAGGAGGAGATAATAAGAATATGGGAGAAGTACTAAGCATTGGAGTTGGAGATAATAAGAATATGGGAGAAGTACTTAGCATGGAAGGAGGAGATAATAAGAAAATAGGAGGAGCACTTAGCATGGGAGGAGGAGATAATAAGAATATGGGAGAAGTACTTAGCATTGGAGTTGGAGATAATAAGAATATGTGAGAAGTACTTAGCATGGAAGGAGGAGATAATAAGAATATAGGAGAAGTACTTAGCATGGGAGAAGGAGATAATAAGAATATGGGAGAAGTGCTTAGTATGGGAGGAGGAGATAATAAGAATATGGAAGAAGTTCTTAACATGGGAGGAGGAGATAATAAGAATATGGGAGAAGTACTTAGCGGAAAAAGATGATTAGTTGAAGGGATTAATGTGAAATAGGAGGGAAATTGGAATGAAATGGTGGGAATTATAATCAAAATAAATAAAAGGAAAGAAGAAGAGGTGCATTGCATACTAACATTTCGCCGGGGGTAGATTTTTTGGGTTTCTAGGAGGATGAGCTGAATCGACCCTGGAAAACAGATGAAGGATAACAGCTGAAGAAAAAAGGGGGAAAAAGAGAAAAAAAGATGATAAAAGCGAATCTATTTTAATTTATTATTTTTAATTCTTTGATTCTTTTTTGATATATTATTTCAAATTTTAATTGAATTAACATAAATATTTTGCAAAATATTTTTTCTTTTTTAAAATATGGCAAAACATTAAGATTTTTTAAAAGCGATAAAAGATTTATTTCTAGATTTGAGATATTCAGTTTAGGTTAAATTTGTTATGTAACAATCCCTTTAGATGCTAAATAATAAAACATTTAGAAGTGGTTTTAGATCAATGAAATAAATAAAAATTTGAAACAAGGAAAAAACATTTAACGCGTGATTTAAAGTACTTTATACCGTTACCGTTAAACTACACTCTCCAGTCATGCACTGTACATTATAGTGTATAGTGTACAGTGAAAAGTGTAAATGTACAGTCATGTACTGTACATTATAGCATAAAGTGTATAGTAAAAAGTGTAAATGTACAGTCCTGTACGGGAACAAACAGGGAGGTCCGTGTCCATGTTGCGTCCTACAGTCTTCTCCCTAAACAGTAAATTACAGATCAGAAAACAATTCACGAGACGGAAAGGTAACATATCCAATAGAGTCACAATAAAAAAGTATTCAGAAAAAAGGCCAAATTTCTGGCCCCTAATAAAGTCCTGCGGAAAAAAGTCATATAGATGTGTACTGCAAATTATTTTGAAGGACATAAAGTCATGACAATTTATTCAAAATTTTTATTTTCATCCATAAAATGCAACAGTTGATTTTGCAACAATTGATCCGGCAACAGTTGATCCTGCAACAACTGATCCTGCAACAATTAATCATGCAACAATTGATCATGCAATAATTGATCCTGCAACAATTGATCCTGCAACAATTGATCTTGCAACAATTGATCCTGCAATAATTGATCATGCAACAATTGGTCCTGCAACAATTGATCCTGCAACAATTGATCTTGCAACAATTGATCATGCATAAATTGATCATGCAACAATTGATAATGCAACAATTGATCTAGCAACATTTGATCATGGAACATGTGATCATGCCACATTTGATCATGCAACAGTTGATCATGCAACAATTGATCATGCAGCATTTGATCATGGAACATCTGATCATGCCACATTTGATCATTCAACAATTAACCTTGCAACAATTGATCCTGCAATAATTGATCATGCAACAATTGATAATGCAACAATTGATCATGCAACAATTGATCTTGCAACATTTGATCATGGAACATCTGATCATGCAACATTTAATCATGCAACAATTGATCATGCAACAATTGATCCTGCAACAATTGATCCTGCAACATTTGATCATGGAACATCTGATCATGCTACATTTGATCATGCAACAATTAATCCTACAACAATTAATCATGTAACAATTGATCATTCAGGAATTTATCCTACAACAATTGATCCTGCAACAATTGATCATGCAACAATTGATCATGCAACAATTGATCATGCAACAATTGATCTTGCAACATTTGATCATGGAACATCTGATCATGCAACATTTGATCATGCAACAATTGATCATGCAACAATTGATCCTGCAACAATTGATCCTGCAACAATTTATCATGCAACAATTGATCCTGCAATAATTGATCATGCAACAATTGGTCCTGCAACAATTGATCCTACAACAATTGATCTTGCAACAATTGATCATGCATCAATTGATCATGCAATAATTGATCATGCAACAATTGATCTTGCAACATTTGATCATGGAATATCTGATCATGCAACAATTGATCATGCAACATCTGGTCATGCAAGATTTGATCATGCAACAATTGATAATGCATGATTTGATCATGCAAAAATTGTAATTGATCATGCAACAATTGGTCCTGCAACAATTGATCTTGCAACATTTGATCATGGAATATCTGATCATGCCACATTTGATCATGCAACAACTGATCATGCAATAATTGATCATGCAACATTTTATCATGGAACATCTGATCATGCAACAATTGATCATGCAACATCTGGTCATGCAAGATTTGATCATGCAACAATTGATAATGCATGATTTGATCATGCAAAAATTGATCCTGCAACAATTGATCATGCAACATTCGGTCATGCACCAATTGATTATGAAACATTTGATCTATTAATAGTGTTCAAGCCCAAAGGAACTGAATTGTTGTCAAAATCTCTTTATTTTTGTAACCCGATGTCGTAGACCTTTGTCATTTCAAAATATGAATTATGTGAGATCAAAAAGTCTAAGTTTGAAATATCAAAGGTTAAAACAAAACGGATGCAAAGATAAAAGGATTAGAACATTTTAGTTAGTGGCAAGAACTCTGTTCATCTAGTATTCAAGGAAGACCATCCTTATATTTGTTTATAAAAAAGTGCAATTCAGTTTAAATAAACAAGCAAATATACAGGGTGACCCACAAAGGCGGAGACGTGAATGACAACCTGGACCTGTGTAATTACGAACATTTGAAGATAGCTTAATTAAGTTTGAATTAATCTGGCAAAGATAGAAAAATGTGTCTCTCTAGTCGAGGGGGTATCAGGAATTAAAGAATTAAAGATCTGCCTAGATTCTGTACATCCTTTACATTAGGTTCATTATCCTATGGGAACTGTAAGTGTAATTGCAAGTGACCCTTCAATCAAAGATTACAATGTCCGATTCACAACGATATCCTGGAAACCTTCATCTGATAAAAAATGTGGAAGATACCGTCGTTTTATTGACTCGAAAAGTGTTCATTTCTGTGAGATTCACTAATGCTTCTTATAAACAAGAACTGCGCAAGTCACTGTGGCTGAGAAACTTTAAATGAAAATAAACAGTTTAAAGGAAAAAAATCATTGATAACTAAATTATACTTGATTAGACAAAGCTTTCAAGGGTACAGTTGTAAATCGGACGTTGCCATCTTTGCATGGAGGGTCACTTAAACATTACGCTTACAGTCCCTTTAAGTAAACATGAATGCATTACATATTTTCTATGTCGGATGCTAAAAGCAAACCTTATTCATTCTTTTATCCTTCCTCAGCTCGTAGTTCCTGGTTCACAGGTTAGTAATTAGACTATTTATTCATTCTTTTATCCTTTGGAACAATTACCTCGTTCTCATGAAATTAGAATTAAAACAACATTTCAAATTTTGTTTAAACTTGCCTTAATTCCTTTCACTACAACTGAGATTAGTAAGAGCAGGGGTCTGAGTCTCATTTTTGATATTTTAGGTGGCATTTGGTTTCTATTAGGAAAATAACTGTTACAAACCTATCTATTTACGTTTATTTCGAAATCTTGTATTATTAAGTAATTTTTCAAATTTTAAATTGAATTTTCTAAAACGATCTATGCAATAATATTGTCGAATTAAGAAAAGGGTGTTTCACCATCTGGTCTGATCTGTATGAGAACTACGAGGGTACTGAGTAGTAAGCAAGTCTCCGCGCCCATAATTTTGCGTGTGAAATTAAAATCTAGCAGGTAAAGTTCAACTCTTAAAACAACCCCAAGACGTTGTTGTTGCCCAATTCGAAAAGTCGGTTTAAAAGGATTTAAAGGATAACTTTGCCATTGGAGGACCATAAAGAACCAAGCTAACAGTCCCTTAAAACGGTAACAAAATATTTTAAATATTTTAAAACTTTTTATTTTTATTTAAATGGAGTGTTCACGAAATTAAATGGGGTATTGGCTTACGTCGAAAAAAAATGCTATGGTGATCGCTGCTAATCTTACTTCTATCTGCTGCGTTTAATGAGAAAATTTTTTAAAACGACTCATTCCAAAGAATGTAGTAGAGCGTCCATACAAAATCAGAAAGTTGCAATATTCGACTCAGATCGTGAAAAAATCAATTCGTATATAGTTGATATTTCATAATATTTGTTATTTGTCTTCTGATTCAATTTAAACGACGATTAGTTGGCCGCCATCCATGTGTCTCTGCTCTCAATGTTTATGCATGGTTAATTGTGGGAGAGACACCTAGCGGACAAAAAAATCGTCGTTTTTTAAGTCCATTGTATATAAAACAAATAAAAAATATTATGAAATAACAACTATATACGATTGCGTCGATTAAAATCCGATGATTATAGTTTCTAATATCATCTATGATTTGTTTGGAATTTAATTGAATTATTTACGATCTGAGTAAAAAAAAAGCAACTTGTGAATTTGTATGGACGCTGCGTTCTTCGGTATGAGTCGTGTTTAACCATTTTCTCCTTATAGACGCTACAGATAGAAGTGAGATTAGTAGCTATCACCATCGAATACTCTTCGGTGTAAGCCTATAACCCCTTTCATAATTCAGGAACACTCCCTTTAATAAAGAAAATTCTAGTTAAATTGTAAAAATCATTTACCGGGGCCAACCCCGATATCAATTATTCCTCTAATCACGTAAACTCTGTCTTTTAAATAATGTTTGATTTATTTGTTTTTCTTTAAAGTGATTGTTCACCTATTTGATTACGTCGTCATATATTAATACCGGGATTTTTGAGCCTAATCTAAACCTAACTGCTCAATGCAAAATTGCCCAAAACTTTGTCAAATATGTTCATCAAGAAACCAAACTATAACGTATGTAGATCGGGAAAAAAATAAACAATGCAGACCAAGAATCTATGAAACGTATGCAGACCAAGAATATATGTAACATTTGTAATGTAGACCAGGAATCTATAATATGTTAATGTAAATTATGGAGACCAAGAGCCTATGTAACGTATGCAGACCAAGAATATAAATCTAACATATGCAGATCAAGAATATATACGTAATGTATGCAGACCAAGAATCTATAAAACGTTTGCATAGCAAGAATATATGTAACATTTGTAATGTAGACTAGGAATCAATGTTATGTATGCAGACCAAGAATCTATTATATGTTAATGTAAATTGTGCAGACCAAGAGTCTATGTAACGTATGCAGACCAAGAATATAAATGTAACATATGTAGACCAAGAATATATATGTAACATATGCAGACCAAGAATATAAATGTAACATATGTAGACCAAGAATATATATATGAAACGTATAAAGACCTAGAATATTAATGTAACATATGCAGACCAAGAATATATATGTAGCATATGCAGATCTAGAATATTAATGTTACATATGCAGACCAAGAATATATTTGTAACATATGCAGATCTAGAATATTAATTTTACATATGCAGACCAAGAATATATATATGTAACATATGCAGACCAAGAATATATATGTTACATATGCAGACCAAGAATATAAATGTAACGTATGTAGATCTAGAATATTAATGTTACATATGCAGATCTAGATTATAAATGTTACATACACAGACCAAGAATATATATGTAATATATGCAGATCTAGAATATTAATGTTACATATGCATACCAAGAATATATATGTAATGTATGCAGATCTAGAATATTAATGTTACATATGCAGACCAAGAATATATATGTAACATATGCAGATCTAGAATATTAATGTTACATATTCAGACCAAGAATATATATGTAATGTATGCAGATCTAGACTATTAATGTTACATATGCAGACCAAGAATATATATATGTAATATATGCAGATCTAAAATATTAATGTTACATATGCAGACCAAGAATATATTTGTAACGTATGCAAACCAAGAATAGAAATGTAACATATGCAGACCAAGAATATAAATGTAACATATGCAGACCAAGAATATATTTGTATCGTATGCAAACCAAGAATGAATGTATTTGTAACATATGCAGACCAAGAAATTGTAACGTACTCAGACCAAGAATATATATGTAACGTATGCAGACCAAGAATATATTTGTAACGTATTCACACCAAGGATACATATGTAACGTATGCAGAAGAATATATTTGTAACGTTTGCAAACCAAGAATATATTTGTAACATATTCACACCAAAAATATATAAATGTAACGTATGTAGAAGAATATATTTGTAACGTATTCAGGATAAGGATATATATGTAAATTATATGCTATATACAGACCAAGATACCAGCTCCCCCGGGAACAAATACGTCTTCCTTTCATCTTTATTAAATAGAACTTCTTTCTCATGTTTTCTTTTCCTCTCAAGTTTTCCTTGTTTACTTAAGAACACTTTTTTATTTAACAAATATATTCTCCGCTTGCTAGATCTTTAAATATATTTTCCGCTTGCTAGATCTTTAAATATATTCTCCGCTTGCTAGATCTTTATATATATTTTCCGTTTGCTTGATCTTTGAATAACCTCTGGTATGATTATTGTTCTAAAAATTGTATTTTCCTGATTTTGGAAAACTAAACTTTTATCATAGAAAAAAAACAAGTCTGAGAATGGCAACGGCCTAATTTAAACGATTAGGCTTTCCTATGTCTGTTTTAACCTACGCACAAGTTTCACGCAAATCTGCCCCTTTAGTCAAAGAAAATTCAACCTATATGAAGCATAAAGTCTGACCGCGTCAACCTTGTTGCACCGGCTAGTCCTTTCCATATAAATATCTATTTGTTAACACTTCTATTTTTTCTTTTGAATCGTCAAACTACAAAAGACATTCAAAACAAAACTAAAACATTAAAAACTTGGAAACAATACCAGTGATAACCAGAAAACGGTAGAATATGAAGACGACATTAATGCAATACTGAAGTGCATTTGATGTTGTTACAAAGCAAATAGCTTTACTAGTAAATGGTCATTTATTAATTGAAATTGCCGTCTGATTACACTGCACAATTCCTGTGTCTCATGTTTAACGGCCTAATTTAAGTCATAGTTCCCCAATCAAGGGTTCATGAGTTATGATCGGACATACAAACAATTTTTTAACCATTCCTGTGATTATACAGAGTTCCTCAATACAAATTTAAGGCAGTCGGCACTTAATGTTAAGTAGAACCCATGCCAATAGCTAAGCAATTATATGGGGGGAGGGGGCACAAAGGATAGAAATCAGAGATACGTTGTAAGTAAATTTTTGACTAAAAACCTCTAAAGGGTCAAAATTGATATAATGACCCAAAATTAAAATACTAGATTTTTAATTTGTCACACATTATAGTGTTTATTTAGATAGATAATTTGGATTATGTTTTCTTTGCCCTTCAATGCTTTTGAGAAGATATTTGCATAATTAAACTCTGATCCAGGGGGATGATAGTTCTCTACCTGTGTGCTCAGTTATCTGTACTGTACACTTACAACTGCTTACTAATAAGGATATACTATAGGTAAGGTCAGAATCTTTTTATAATAAACAAATATGCAGTACGCTCTCAGTATAGTTCATGGCCTATACAATTAGTAAAGGATTTGCGTACATCATCACTCTATACACTATATCCTCGTAGCTCTGATCAGAATAGATATTATGCAAATAGGTTGGATATTATGAAGAGATCATAAATAGCCAATATAATATATATTTATGCAATATATGGTTTTACAACAGTGGAAGGGGCATCCAAAAGTATGTAAAATGCCTATAAAAGTTCAACTGAAGCTCAAGCATTAAAATCTTCAGTTTTTCGAAAACTAGAAATCGAATTTAAGAAAAGCTTCTCCTAAACCTGTCAATATTTCATAGATAATTTCAACTTGTCTCCATATTGTTTCTTGTTGCTATAAGATGGTTCATTTAAATAATTAATCTAAAAGAAGAGAAAAGGGTAAGTTTATCAAAATGCAAAAAATCATTATAAACCCCATCATTTTACAAAACAGGAAAGACAAAATTTCCAAATAATTTATTTTTGAAAGCACTCATCAATTTTTCCTTAATTTGAACACTAGAAACACTCAACTTTTTGACACACAATATTGATCACAAAAATTAGATTTGTTACAAATTTTCTCCCCTTTTTTCCTTCTTTCTTTCAGTTTTCTTTTTGTCTCTAATAATGTTACTTGTATGATCAGCATAATTATTTTAGTTTGTTATAAAACGTTATAAGATTATGATCTCCTAGTCCTGAAAGTTGATTATTTAAGCTCCAAACTGCTGTGTATGTATTTACAATGTATTGTGTCACAATTAACACGTAAGAATCAGGAAATCTATAGAGTTATATTTGAGTCCCTGTGAGGTATTGCTGAACCATCTCATAGAAAAAGTTGAACTAGCCATACCTAGGTTAACAACTCCTCACTCATTCATGAACTTGCTAAGATAATGATATCATGCTATGCTGCTACTGGCACTGCATAGATTTTCGTTAAAACATCGCAATGCCTCTCTACCAATTTAATTTATAACTTGTCTATGCATGTTTCTTCTACATTAAGTCGCAATTTACAAAACAGGAGAACAGTATCAAATACTAAAAATCTTAAATCAAATAAAAAAATGAGACTGTTATAATCGTTATAAGAAACTTAAAGATCAAGGTGGAAAATTATTTTGTTTTCCAAATAATATCAAAACGCAGCAAAAATTGTTAATTGTTAAAAATGGGTCACCGCATTCGTTTAAAAAATCATTAATCAAATAAAATTGATTGATCTAGTGTTAAAAACTAGTTTTTCTTTTGAGACTGACATCTTTCAAGTAAAGACGGATTTTATTATACCAATTTGAATATATTTTGAATTTTTTTCTATCGCTTGCACTAGTAAATTTAACTTTACAATACAACTGATGATGAAAAAACAGAATATTTTTATTAAAAAGTGAAAAATTGTCCCATCCGTAATCAAAAATCATTTATACATTAAACAGGGAGTAATGATCTGCCTCCCCCCCCCCTGAATCCGCTTATGCAACCGACATAGTTAAACCTTATTTATTTGTTTAATTACACGAAATTAATAAATAACGTATGTTATTCCAGCCTAAACTCATCATAATTGTTATTTATGAAATATTTATATTACAAGAAAAAAAGTGTTAGGCTGTTATTAAGATTAAATAGGGATATTTGAGAAGAAAAAGAGATCTCAAGAAAATGAGATAATTATATAATTAGATTTAATATCCCGAAAATGGCAGTCCGTGGGTTGGTGAGACGTCAGCAGCATTTCCTAGAAGCAGCCCTGTTGATACCGGTTGATAAACATCAGCTCACCTTTAGAGTTTGGCAATCAGCTGCTGCAGCTACAAGGTAATCAGCTGTGTAATAGATGCTGCAGCCACAAGGTAATCAGCTACTGCTGCTACTAGGTAATCAACTGCTGCAGCTTCCATATTTTAAGCTGCTGCAGATACAAGGTAATCAGCTGCTGCAGCTATTAATTAATCGGCTTTATGTAGCTACCGGGTAATCATCTGCTGCAGCTCCAAAATACTCAGTTCCTGCAGCTACTCCGTAATGATCTGCTTTAGCTTGAAGGTTATCAGCTGCTTTAGCTTCCAGGTTATCAGCTGCTTTAGCTTACAGGTAATTAGCTTCTGACGCTACAAGGTAATCACCTGTTGCAGCTATAAGGTATTCAGCTGCTGCTTCTACCAGGTAGTCAAATGATGAAGCTACAAGGTAATCCGCTGCTTCCGCTTCCAAGTATTCAGCAGTTGCAGCTACAGTGTAATCAGCTGCAGAAGCTACCATTTAATCAGCTGCTTAGTTTCCAGGTTATCAGCTGCTTCCGCTTACAGGTATTCAGCTGATGCAGCTGCCATGTAATTAGCAGCTGAAGCTACAAGTTAATTAGGGGCCTGTTTTCCTTGCTTTTATTTTAGGACAAGGTTAGAGAACAGTCTAGAAGAGATCCGAGAGGTAAAATTGTTTTAAAACACAGATTTAAGATATCAGAGAACATGAAATAAATCTGGTTAAATCCTGGATTTATTCTATAATGCTGAAAATATTTTTATCCAACGTTAAATTGGTTTTGTAACAGGATATACTATTTAATTCTCCTAAATTCAAGATCAGTTTTCACGAACAGATAAGATTATAATAAGTTTGTATGTATAAAAAATCTGCAGAAGTTTACAAAAATATAAGAACTATGTTCTTCCCTTTATGTGTATTGTTTACGATGATGGATATTTCCCGAAACTAATTTTTGAAATCGCTTTTGGATTGGAATTGGACTTTGCAACTGTCTTCCCCTAACTTTTTTCATAAAGGCTGGAACCTGGAAATCTGAGAGAATTATCACATCTCGCCAGGATGTAAACATTACAGTGGAGGTAGTATTCAATACATTACAGTGGAGGTAGTATTCAATACATTACAGTGGAGGTAATATTCAATACATTACAGTGGAGGTAGTATTTAGTACATTACAGTGAAGGTATTACTCAATACATTACAGTGGAGGTATTATTCAATACTTTACATTACAGTGGAGGTAGTATTCAATACTTTACATTACAGTGGAGGTAGTATTCAATACTTTACATTACAGTGGAGGTAGTATTCAATACATTACATTACAGTGGAGGTAGTATTCAATACATTACAGTGGAGGTAGTATTCAATACATTACATTACAGTGGAGGTAGTATTCAATACTTTACATTACAGTGGAGGTAGTATTCAATACATTACAGTGGAGGTAGTATTCAATACATTACATTACAGTGGAGGTAATATTCAATACATTACAGTGGAGGTAGTATTCTATACATTACAGTGGAGGTAGTATTCAATACATTACAGTGGAGGTAGTATTTAGTACATTACAGTGGAGGTATTACTCAATACATTACAGTGGAGGTAGTATTCAATACATTACAGTGGAGGTAGTATTTAGTACATTACAGTGGAGGTATTACTCAATACATTACAGTGGAGGTAGTATTCAATACATTATAGTGGAGGTAGTTTTCAATACATTACAGTGGAGGTAGTATTCTATTCATTACAGTGGAGGTAGTATTCAATGCATTACAGTGGTGGTAGTATTCAATATTTTACATTATAGTGGAGGTAGTATTCAATACAATACAGTGTAGGTAGTATTCAATACATTACAGTGGAGGTTGTATTCAATTACAAAGATTACAAAGATTACAACGAGTAATCAATATTTATCTTGAGAATTTTGAGAGGTTTAAATGCGAAAAACCTAGTTCTATATCGTGGGAATAAATTTTATATAAAAAAACTAAAATAACTGAAACTTTATTAGCTTATTTCTGTTTCTGTATCTACCATCATTAACACCCTGTATTTTAATTTATCTCTACATAAAAATCCCTCTGATCTCACCCTGCCACAGATCATCTGACAATCTCCTTCCTTCCAATCAACTCCTTACCTACCCAAAAACATATTTTGATATGTGTAACCAATTATTTTCAGTATCGTTAATTAACTTCGGGCCATCCACTCAAAGCAACCTACCCTGGTTAGGCGGGTCCAAACTGCATAGTAAATTATGAGAGCTTATTTGTAATATCTCATGCTTTGTAGTTGAATACAAATATGAAATGAATATAGATTAAGCGCCCTCAAAGCCTAGTGCGTCAAATGCATGAAGATTTTTGTAACTGCCTTACTTTCTTAATACTAAAGTATCAATTAACATGAAATCAAAAGTTTTAAAAAATATTTAAAAAAAAAAGATATTTCTTTCCAAGTTAGAAAACAAATAGAAAAAAAACTTCTCACTATACATGTACATTTCTATAATAAGGAAACATGATACTAATAACTGTATTTTATAACATTTTTATCTTTATAAGTACACTAGCTGTATAGACACAAATGTGCTTTTTCACGCTACTCAGGAATAAGATACAGGGATTTTCAGTTCTGAAGGAAAAGTAGTCTGAGAAACGAAAAACAAAGGCATTGTTTGGATGGACCAAAAATATAAAGACAACATAAAATCTATTTTAATTTTTAGTTAGTGTTGACAAGGAAATTTAAAATCTATAATTTCTAAATAAAAACGACCTTTTCGGATTTGTTTTCCATTTGAAGGAATTCAGCAGAGATGCATTTTAGTCACAGAACATGTCAAAATACCTGCACTGTGTTTCTCTAAACACTGAACAGTTTATCACAAAAATATCAGAAGGAGATGATTCATTTGCTGTATACCATGGCCGATATTGCAATAGGTCGGAAAGTTAGTAGGTCAAAAGTTCAGTAGGGGGGATATTGCGTATAGACGATAAAACATTACCTGTCTAGGGTCGAAGTGAAATCTTAAACTTCTGCGCCAACAACTACTTGGGTTTATCCAGTCATCCGCTTGTAATACAGGTTTATCTTTGTAAATCATAAACAACATGGCGGATGTGATTTGCTTCTAGTTTTTGGGTCGTTTTTATGCATGTATTTTCCCTCGTGGTCAAAACATAGTGCACATTTTCTTTATTTTAAACATTTGCTGTTTTACCACTCTTTTAAATATTCCTAATTTCAAATCTTTAATTGTTTAAATTCTTTAATTTTTCAAGAACGAAACTAAAGCACAGAGCGTTCCATATCATATCCAAGCTTTAACGCCAAAATTTAAGCGCAGAATACTCGAAAAATCTAGTATTTTCTGCATGCAGTTTTTTAGCGTTTTACTATTTTTTAAAATGATTAAATCTTTTTAAATCTTCTGATTTGTCCCAAAAATAGCAAATATCAATAACGATCTATGTAATATAATGTGAGACACCTTGTATATTCTAGTATTCTAGTATGGATTATTTTAAGGCTGGTATTGATGCTCTGAAAACACATGGTGCAGGACTTTCTTCTGTGAGGTAAGTTATCTTTTTATCCGTCTAATCTCTTTTTCAAACCATGAGTTTTGACGCCATGATAATATTCACAAATTGGTCCGGCATGATTTTAAATTCTTTTTGTTGAACTCATGTAGTTGTACTTCATAAATACGTTATTCCAGTTACGTTTAATTGCAATTTGTTATGCATGCGAAAATCTTATTTACTCTCACAAGCAATGTTTACAGCTTGTGTACTTTGCAGGTTTATTTGTGGAACTCAAGATATTCATAAGGATTTAGAGGATAAAATCTCCAGGTAAACTGAATCAAAATATTCTCACTACGGGAATATTAAGGATTTAGAGGATAAAATCTCCAGGTAAACAGTATCAAAATATTCTCACTACGGGAATATTAAGGATTTAGAGGATAAAATCTCCAGGTAAACAGTATCAAAATATTCTCACTACGGGAATATTAAGGATTTAGAGGATAAAATCTCCAGGTAAACAGTACCAAAATATTCTCACTGCCGGAATATTAAGGATTTAGAGGATAAAATCTCAAGGTAAACAGTACCAAAATATTCTTACTGCGGGAATATTAAGGATTTAGAGGATAAAATCTCAATGTAAACAGTACCAAAATATTCTTACTGCGGGAATATTAAGGATTTAGAGGATAAAATCTCAAGGTAAACAGTACCAAAATATTCTCACTGCGGGAATATTAAAGATTTAGAGGATAAAATCTCAAGGTAAACAGTACCAAAATATTCTCACTGCGGGAATATTAAAGATTTAGAGGATAAAATCTCCAGGTAAACAGTACTGCGGGAATATTAAAGATTTAGAGGATAAAATCTCAAGGTAAACAGTACCAAAATATTCTCACTGCGGGAATATTAAAGATTTAGAGGATAAAATCTCCAGGTAAACAGTACCAAAATATTCTCACTGCGGGAATATTAAGGATTTAGAGGATAAAATCTCCAGGTAAACTGTACCAAAATATTCTTACTGCGGGAATATTAAGGATTTAGAGGATAAAATCTCCAGGTAAGCAGTTGTAAAATGTTCTCACTACGGGAATATTAAAGATTAAGAGGATAAAATCTCCAGGTAAACTGTACCAAAATATTCTCACTACGGGAATGTTTGATGAAAAATAATTCAACATATCAATATTAAGATCCACAAAATTTCAACAAATAAACATGTTTTTATTTGTAAATAGTATTTAAGAACGTTTGTACTGTTAATCCTAAAGAGATAAGTCATCTTTGTAAAACTCCGGCCAATCAGAAGCTATCAAAACTCTGCTCTCAGATAAGGATTGCGCATCAAATTTGTTTTGCGTATTTTTAGGTTTGCGCGATTTCATTCAAACAAGGTTTATTTTCACAATTTGAAAATTATCTTCATAACTTAAAGTAAATGAGATTTTACCACAAACTCAAATTTTCTAATCCATATATCTTTGTAAACCAACGTCGTAGACCTTTGATATTTAAAACTATGAATCCTGTTAGACCAAATAATCTAAATATGACATATTAAGGGTTTAGACCATCAGGTTGTACAGATATAGAGATTAGAAAAAATGAGTCTGTGGCAAAAACTCAGTTTCCTTAAAAAATAATTATAGAATCCAAAAACATGTGGGTGATGAAAATTCCTGTTTTTTTCTATAATCCTTCTTAGTAAAGGTTTCATGAGCGTGAGGATTCTATTTTCTATATATCCTTCTTTGTAAAGGTTTCATGAGCACGAGGATACTATTCTCTATATATCATTCTTTGTAAAGGTTTCATGAGCGTGAGGATACTATTCTCTATATATCCCCCGGGTAGAATCTTAGAGTCTGAAACCTAGTCTTAGACGCCGGGCCGACCTCCTCAGACCCTCTGTTTTTGGAAAAAAATATCAAATTTCACCAAATATATGTAATATGAGCAAAAACCATTAAAATATTTGAGCATTCCTCTCCCCATCCCTTTCTTCAAGCACCCCTCCATATGTCCCAACCCCAGTTTCTGCTGTTTCCCCCCAAGTCTGATAGAGGTCGTTGTTCAAGACTCTCTTCAGTTTTATTATGTATCATATTTCTTCAACATGTGTTATGTCCCAACCCCAGTTTCTGCTGTTTCCCCCC